TTCTTCATTTGCAAAATGGCTAGGGCTAGGGCTAGGAATTGATCTGTAATTTCAATGATTTAGGAAATTCCTACTGAGGAACTCCTTCTACCAAGGCAGGTCAGCATTTCTCTGAAACTTAAGATTTTATAAAGCTATCGAGAATGCTGAGATCTTGCCCAGGATCACACAGCCAGGATGGGTCAAAGTCAGAACTGGATTGTTTTCCTGACTCTGAGACCATCTGTTTATCTACTGCTCCACACTGGATATTATAATATCAGTGGGAGTGATGATGATGATGATGACAAACAAAATAACTTATCTCACCAAATTGTAAGATTCAAATGAGAGAGTAGTCTTAAGTAATTTGTAACTATAGTACCATGTAAATATACATTATGTTTTTCTTCTCCTAGTGCATTTGCCACTAAGTCTATGGGTATCTGGTAAAGGTTTTGCAACCAACTCTAATATATGTGTATATATTATATATGTTCATATATAATATGTAACATTTCATATCTATGTATATGTATGTACATATACATAATACTATGTTATGTTACATATATAATATATACTATGTATACATGTATGTACATTAAAAAAAATTAACCTACATTATTCACATTTTTTCCATTACCTTCTTAAGTCAAGACAACAATAAAACAATAAATCAAGCCCTGATTTGTGACACATGCCAATTTCTGAGATGTAAATACACAGACTGAAAATTTAATAATTGAATTGGCTCCAACCATCTCCTGACTTAGGCCTGAGCTTCACATATAAGCACTGCCCAGGTAGGATAGGAGGGACATAACTCCAGGCTGGGGATTCAGGTCTTGGTTTGACTGGCTCATCCTATCAGAAGAATGACAAGTTGTGCACATACTGTCATTTTAAAATTATGCATTAGGAGGCATAAGTTGGTAGTTGATTTCAACCCAAGTTTCATAAGAATAACTCTCAGTGCCTGGCACATTACTTAGCCTTTTCAGCTCATAGACCAAACCAGCTTGGATCAGCGTGCAGCCACGTGCTGTTTCAAGTAAAAATGGCGGCAGAGCCGTGACCGAGACTTTTGTTAAATTTTATGGAACCCACTGATCCCTGCTGAGAATGTGGGTGCCCACTCCTACTGTGCTCAGAGTCTCAGAGTGGGTTTGATAACTTACCCTCTAGAAAAATGGATTTCACCATTCTGTCCCCAGATTCTATTGTCTCTGGTGGAGAAGTGGCTGTTTTTAGGTAACTCACCTTAAAAGCTAGCAGTAAAAATCTAATCCACTGACCTTGAAAGCAAAAAGACAGGCCTTTTATGTAACTTCAATTTTATGTCCTGCCCTAGGGGAGAGTCATATGCTTAGGACATTTTTGTCATATGCTTGGGGAGAACCATACATTTTTAGGAAAAAAAAGAATGGTTCTAGCAAAAATCCTCCCTACTGGTGGTTGTTTCCCCTAAGTTTGCTTGGTTTCTGGATTTTTCCAGGAATGTTCATACCGATCTTCATGTCCCGAACATGACCTACTGAATAAGTGGAATTTCCAGTAAAATACAGGGTTATGTGGCAAAGCTCGTATTACTGATGGACACATTTACTACTCAGCTTGAAATGGCCCTGATGAAAGTTTCACTCCCGCCATAAGGTTAATATTTGATGAATGTAGTGAGGAATTTACCAATTCAGCAATTCCCACAGAGAAATAACATCAGATGTCCTGCTGAAGCAAGTTTGAAACCCTTTCTCCAAGTGTCCACAAAGAGGACTTCATGTTTTTACATAGAATTTTGGTGTCCAATATGACCATAATCAATTGGGATTCAGATTCTGTCATGGCATGTAAAGGGATTCATTTATCTAGTTAGTCACACAACAGGCTCTTTTTTTTTCTTTTTAGATTTTATTTTGACATCAAATTAATTTCCAAAGATACCCTCCCCTCCCCCATCCCTTGTAACAAAAAATAAGAGGGGAAGACTGAGACACACAGTGACAGAGAGCAAAGCATTTCAACCAAACTCATCAACACATTGATTGAGTCTGACAGAATATGCATGTCACACACTCGAGATATCCCACTTCTTTGAAGAAGGTGCATTTTTTGAATGAGTTTTCATAGCCAAGTTTGGTCATTATACTTAAGTGGCATGCAGGGTTTTTATTTTGTTTGGGTTTTGTGATTGTTGATGTCCTTTACGTTTACATTTCAATGAGCCCTTTAAAGTTCTGTTATGTGTAAATCATACTTAGATGTTGGACAGAACCAAAATTCTCCTTGCCTTCAAGGCGCTTACAAATTATTGGGAAGGACAAAAACACTTGTGCATATATAGATCGCTATAAAATCTATACAAAGGTGTAGTGTGGTAGATGGGAAAGAGCATGAACTTGGAGTCAGGGGACCTGGGTTTGAATCCTGACTTTTCCATTTACTAGTTGTATGACTACACTGTACGTCACTTACCTTCTCCGGGATGTTGTTTTCTTGAAAGTGAAAGTGTTGGACTGCATGACATCTGAAGTTTCTTACAGTTCTAGATCTGAAAAAAGATTAAGTACTTTTTTGGGGGTGCATATAGGTTAGGAGGTTAGTAAGTAGACAGAATCTACCTAGGTAAGAAACGGTGTTGTAGAAGGTGGCATAATCTGTTTGGGATGGGTGCTAGGGCTTTTTCACAGACTTACATAATGTGTTTTCCTTCAACATGTTGATGTCATCAATAATTTCTCTAGAAATTGAAATTGGCTAAGTCTTGTTGGGAAAAGATCACATGATTTGGAAAATCAGCAAGGTGTTTGGAATTCTGTTCCAGAAAAAGGTTCAGCAGTCTATAGGAAGAAGCACGCAAGCTCTAACGGTCATGATAATTATTGCTAGCTTTCCAACAACACTTTAAAGTTTGTGCAGCACTTTATGTATGTCACCTTCATAACAACCCTGTGAAGTATGTGCTATCATTATTCCCATTTTACAGAGGAGGAAAATGAGGCAGAGGTTAAATGGCTTGCCCAGGATTGCAAAGTGAGTAAATGTCTTAGGAAGAATTTGAATTCAGATCTTCCTGACTCCAAGTCCAGCACTGTAATCACTGTGTCACCTTTACAGAAGGGCCTCACCTCCCCCTGTAACTCCCATTCATTTCAGTCCAGTCCTGTAGGATGTTCTTCCAAAGGTGAGAAGGCCCATTCCATGTCTTCCTGTCTAGTCTTTGTACTTTCATCCTGAGATTATTTTCGTTTTATTCTGTACAGGTCCTCCGTGTGCATAGGCATTTGCATGTTGTCTCCCCATTACACTGTGAGCTCCTACAGAGCAGGGACTGGTTTTGTGCAGTGACTAGCACATAGTAGGTACTTAAATGCTCAATGATTTGACTAGTCTGTCCATTGTTGCCTTCTCTACAGTGACTATTAGTGGGTAGAGAGTACTGATGTAACCAGTACAAAATGTGGTGGTGATCTTTGCAAAGAGAATACTTAATCACTTGGCCACAGATTTATCACTTGGCCATTTATCAGATTAGAAAGACCTTATGGTCAAAATATGAGCCAGTTCCTTTCATGCTACTTTAAAGATGGAGCTCTGTCTTTTCCCACTTCATTCATTGCCATCCTATGAAGTCTCTACCTCAAAGGAATATCTCTGTCTTTTCCAATGGTACCACAGAAATAAAATACTTTTCTACACAGAACTTGCAAAGAGCCAAGAAACTTAGAATTTTCACACTACACGATAAGAATTGGTAATAGCCAGAATGGTCTTCTTAAACTGCAGTTCTAACACTCATTAAAATCCAGTCACTCCTAATTGCTTCTAGGATCAGATATAAATTTCCTGCTTTTGCATTTAAAACTTATCACAACTGGACCCTTCCTACTGCATTGTATGGGCCAGTCCTACTGGCCTGCTTTCCATTTTTAAGCAAGACACTCTATCTCTTATCTCCATGCTTTTTCCATTAACAGAGATCTTTCCAGGTCCCCTCACTCTAATATTACCTTGTATCTACCTTGTTTATTATTTAAATGTATGTTATTATGCCCCATCTCCATCATCCCCAGTAGACTGTAACCTCTTTGAGGGAAAGCACCATGTTTTTGCCTCTGTATCCATAGTATTTAGCATAGAGTAAGCAATGGAAAAATACATGATTGATTGATGAGCTCTAAATTATGAAATTGATGTTTTTTTTGCCCCAAACAGTTTACTTAATTGGTTCCTCTTACTTTTTAAACAGTCACATCAAGATAATGTGAAAGTTATGTAGGTGTAATCTTTATCTGATTACATTTCAAATCAGGATCACTCCTTAAATATACTAATAATGATTGAAGTTTTCAATAATAAAGTGGTTTACATTCCAAGCAATTTCTCCTATTTTTGTATCACTAATTTAAGGCAAAATTATAACTTTTCACAAGTTTCATTAGAGTGAATAAACATACGTGAGCAGATTTTACACTTTTTAAAAAGTTTTTGATGCACACAGAACTTATATTCTAGTCAAAGGAATAAATAAATGCAAAACATGGGTAATGCATGTACAAGCTGGTTGTAGGAATGCCTTAGCATAGATTGTTGTTGACGAGAGGCATGCATAAACAAAGGGAAGGGCGGGGAAGGAAGATAGCAGACATGGTCTCATGTAAAGGAAGGCTCTCCAGCTGAGCCTTGAAGGAAGTTTGGGATGCCAGGAGGTAGCGGTGAGCAGAAAGTGTAATCCAAGTACGGGGGAACAGCCTACTCCACAGACTGGCGGTTGGGATATGGCATGTTTATGAGAGCTTTTCTGATAAGGTTTATCTGATCTCCTTGCCAGAAGGGCTGGTAAACACTTCATGTACAGGGAATGACCAGCCATTATCACCACATTATCACTGCAACTGCTCTGACCTTTCCAACATTCCCTCTCTTTCACTCCTCCACCACAAAACCCAAGCAGCTCCCCATTTCTGAAATGACTAATTGATGTTCCTGGTCCTCCACCTGACACACTCTTTCATCTGCAGACCCACTCTGAGGAGAGGCCCTTCCAGTGTGAGGAATGCAAAGCTTTGTTCCGGACCCCCTTCTCTTTGCAGAGACACCTGCTAATACATAACAGTAAGTGCCAATCCAGGCATTTGGTTAGAGGGCAAAAGGGCAAAGAAAGGGTTGCCAGGCTCCTTGAGCCCATGCTGACTCACTCAAGCAATACCTGTGACAGGAAAAGTCTTGTGAAAACTCTTCTATGCATAGGGAATTTGTTGACTGGGTTAATTTCTAGGAAGGCTGAATCTTCATAAAGGAAGGAATGCTGAATGTGAAGTTTGAGACCTCCACTCAAATCAAAGCTGTCTTTTCATATTCACATGACTTTAGCCTCAGTTTCTTCCTCTGTACCATGAGATGGATGGAGTGCATAGGGTCTAAAGTAATCTGTGCTCCTAAACTTCTAAAACAGGGAAATCCCGGGTAAAATTTGAGAACTTTGTTTCTACCTTCTGATTCCCAAACTGACTTGGTTTGTCCCCAGGTTTTCTTCCCAACTCCCCTTTAGGTTTTCCACCAGAATGACTTCTTGGGTTTAGGGAGTGTTCTCGGAATTTACTGAAAATAGATCTCAAACAGTTATTTCCCATGACCCAAAAGACTGAAAGGAACAGCCGTAATGATCAGAAAAGGTTTGTGATGCCATGGACCTTAGATATCATGCAGTCTAACACCCTTACCCCACATTTTGACCTGGGATGGAACAAATGCCCAGGTGAATTGTAGCATCCAACCTCACACCACGAGTTGATGACAGAATTGAGCAGAGAGCCTAAGGTTCCTGCCTCCCAGACCACTGGTCTTTCCAACTAGACTGCACTCCCTCAAGCCTCTTGCTTATTCTGAAGGGACATGCATTCAATTCATACAAAATTACACTGCAGAAATCCTAGAGTCTTAGAAGCATGGAACCTTTAGAACATGAGACAATTGGTTACCTAGCCCTTACTCGAAGACTTCCAGTAAAAAGGAGCTCATCATCTCTCATACATCACTATTCCTTTTCAGATGACTCTGACTGGCAACAAGTATTTCTTTGAATTGAACAGGACTCTTCCTCTCTTCCTCTTCCTCTCATTGTTCCTAATTCTATTCTCTGAGGACATATATCATAATTCTCCTCCTTCCACATGCCAACCCCTCAAAGACAGTTCTTTCTTTTCCTTTCCAGGCCAGATGTCATTAATTCTTTCAACTGAGCAAGTCTTCTCACTATACATGTTTACTTCCCTGGAATTATTTCTGTCTTTCAGTGTCCTTCCTAAACTAAAATGCCCAGACCCAAATACCATATGCCAGGTGTGAGCAGGGAAGAATATATCATCTGATGATCATGTCTTTCTTTCCAAATATTATGCTTTTATTAATGTAGCCTAAGGTCACATTATCATTATTATTTAGTTGCCACGTTGACTTATGTTGGGGTTTACAATCCACTCAAATCCTCACATCTTTTTTTTTCTTTAGAAATATTTTCCAGTCATGTCTCTTACTTGTGTAATTCATTGTTTAAACCCAAGTATAAGACTTTACATTGATCCTTGTTTAATTTCATCTTCTTATATTTGACTCTTCACTCTAGCCTCTCAAGTTCATTTTAGATGACAAAGCCTGGAGCCTCATATATGGACCCTGGGACTCCAGTTTTGGATGCTATTCTTTTCTTTCCTCCTACTCCATGAAATATTTGAGTCTTTTTTTCAGGAGTTCAGGTCCTTCCAGAGTAGGAGAGCAGTTGAGTTTTTGCTCAATGGAAAAAGTGGGATTCCATAAAAATATACATAAGAACTGTTCTAACAAATTTAAACTTAGGGTTTTCTTTTCTTTTTCCCCTTCTTTTTTTATAAGGTTTTATAATAGCTATAATTTTTTAAGACATCAATTTTGCAAACTTGAAGCTTTAGGAAAAATATCATTATGCTGGGTTTCATAAAAGTGGCTTCTACTTCTGAGAGACCAGAATTTTATATGACAGGGAAAAAGAAAATCTAAGCTCTTCTTAACTCTACCTATCCTCAGGAAGTCATGACTTATGGATTTTCTTTCTTTTACCTGGACGTGTTACATAGGAGGAAGTTAATTATGACTAGACTCATTCACATCTTACTCTATAGAAGGTGCAGTCTTGAAAGTTCTTTTTTTTTTAAGACAAAAAGACTCATGGATTTGGATAATATGTTTAAAAGAAAAACACATCTTGGAGAAGTCCCTTAATGTATGAATATTAAAGTTTGAGAACAAAAGAAGCAAGTTGTTATGACTTCTGTAAATGCTGCACAATGGTGATGATGGTGATCGACTATACCAAGTTTCTTTCCATTGAGAAAAAGGGTGCTGCATCTCTTAGATGCCTTTGGTGCCTACCTCACAATCAAGCTTCTTAGCTCTGAAGACAGAATTAAGCATAGTGTGACTGACTCCCAATTTTCTATAAAAGAGGAATAAAAAAATGAGATTGCTGCTTTGTATCACAGTCGTGATTTCAATCTTCAAAAGCATTTTAAAAACAAATTTTTGCAAGATTAATTGTTTTTAGAATGGGAATTAAAAGAAAAAGTCAGTTCCACTAACAACAGTGGGATTTGTGTAGCTAAATCTTGGCCCGACATTCTGGAAAATTCCTTCTTGTACAATGTAACTTGATTTCTCATAGTAACAGTGAACAATTAGTGGGAAGAGTCCAATACTTTTCATTCCTATTTATTAGCTTTCAGACAACCAGAGAAGTATGACATTGAAGGTGGCAAGAGGAATTAGATGTGAGTCTACATTCGTATCTATATGTTATATGATATGATCTGAATGAAATTATATGTACTAAAAGTATATTAATCAAATATTTTCCAAAGAGCTACCCAGATGTTTAGCTGGTTAAAAATGATTTATTTGTCTTTATGAATCTTCATTTAAAGTCACTAAGGGAAAATTTAAATAAAAAACACTGTTATATAGTATATAGAGGACCAAGCATGGAGTCAAGTACTCTCTCTGACATGTACTGGCTGTGTAACTGAAAGCTGGTCATTAAACATCTCTGTGATCAAGGACAGGTTATTGCATGTCTTAGTGCCCCAGGAAAAGCTCCAGGACTAAATGTTACTGATAAGTTACCAATCCGTGCCAGTGAAGGAGTTTCTGTACTAGGAATTCTTTACACTAATGAACCTGCAGGCATGCCACTCCTCATTAGTCAGGTAAGATTAACAATTTTAAGAAAAATAATAAAATATAATAGAATATCGTAGAAGAAAAGAAACTAAAGTACATCCAATCTTATCTTAATTCATTAGGGAAAACCAATAAAATGGAAAAGAAAAAGCATTTATGGCTGCAGAATATGAAGAATAAATCAGAATGATGTCTGAAATTATCACAATTTTTATTTCCTTCCAATCCCAAGAGAAATAGCTAACTAGCTCCCTCATTAAAAAAGTAAATGACAGAATATCAGAGTGAAAAAAAGATTCTTAGGGGCATCTAGTCCAACCTGTACCTGGGGAAACACTCCATCTACAATCTCTAGTCTTCACTTGAAACATACACTCCCCCCACCCATCACCAGTGAGAGGAAGCTGCTATATCCTGAGTGAGCCCATTCTCCTTTTGGACTACTCTAATATGGGGTTGGGGTAGGTGGGGGAGAGGGGATCCATATGTTTTTTTCTTTTCTACTTCTTGTTCTTTGTTCTGCACTGCAGATTAAATCTAATGCTTTTCCCACATGAGAGCCCTTCAGATAATCAGAGGCAGTTAACATCATCCCTCCCTTAAGTCTTTTCTTCTTCAAGCTAATCCTCACTTGGTTCAGCTATCCTCTTACAACACGATCTTGAGACCCTTCACCATTGCAGATGCCTTCTTCTGGACATTCTCCAGCTGATTAATGAACTTTACACAATGCTCCATGTGTGGACTGATCAGCCAGAGAACATTAATATTCTCATGTTGCTAGAGCTGGATGTAATTTTAATACAGCCTAACATTTTATTGGCTTTTTGGCTGCCAATCATAGTATCATAGACCTCGAGCTGGAAGGGCCATTTGGAGGCCATTTAATCCAAGCTGCTCTTTTGCCAGATTAGGAATGTAAGTGAATTGCCAAAGATCACATGGGTGGTAAGTGTCAGAGTTGGGATTTGAACTCAGGTTCTATTTCTCTTTCAGCTGTATCATACCGCCCTCAATTCATATTGAACTTATTGTCTATTAACATTCCCATGCATTTTCCCAATGGATTATGTTCTAATCATATCCCCCCATTTCATCCTTGTGCAACTGATCATTTGAACTTTTAGTCCACATTTATCCCTATTATATTTCGTCTTCCTAGATGTGACCAAAGTTTCTAAGCCTCTTGAGATCTTTTTTGAATCCCAAAGTTGTCTTCCTCCTTAATATATATTAGGTTTATTTCCAACAATTTTAAAGATGGCTTTGACATGGGGACTATGAGAATGCATTTAATGATATGGGAAAAAAAAAACTTTTCCAGAATTCTCTTTCTCTTAGTATCTGTGCCAAATATTTCACTATAACTTGCAAATTTAACAGAGGTTTCTAAATTCTCTCTTGTTGCAGAAGCCTTGTGTGTGAGGAATTAAGGAATAAAAGCTGAATAAAATGGGTTCCTTGACCTCATAGCCTAAACATTGTGCATTCATCCCAGGCTTACTGTATTCCATACTTCGATTCTTTTCTCCCATCATACCTTAGAATTGGTTTATGCTGTTGGGTCAGTACCCTTGCTGACATTTCCTTTTCATCTTTCTAAACCAGTTACTTTGGCACCCAACTGGATTTGTCAAAGAGAGGACATAGGCCTTTCCCTTCATCTGATCCCTGAAAACAGCATACAGCACCTCCTTTACCTTTTCTTAGGGCAGGGGTGGGGAACCTGGGGCTTTGAGGCCACATGTAGCTATCTAGGTCCTCAAGTGAGGCCTTTTGACTGAATCTAAACTTCACAGTTCTATAAAATTTGGACTTAGTCAAAAGGTCGTAGATGGCCACATGTGGCCTTGAGGCCGCAGGTTCCCCTCTTTGTCTTAGTGTTTTCCTGTGAACTACCATTGGACAGCGAGATGGTATGTTGGATAGAGTGCTGAGCCTGGAGTCAGGAAGACTAAGTTCAGTCTGGCCTTACACACTTACTAGCTGTGTGACCTTGAGCAAGTCACTTAACCCTGTTTGCCTTAGTTTTCTCACCTGTAAAATGACCTAGAGAAGGAAATGGCAAACCACTTTAGTATCTTTTCCAAGAAAATCCCAAATGGGACCTTGAGAATTTGGACATGGCTGAAATGACTGAACAACAAATGCCATTGGAAAACATTGTGGAAGAGAGGAGGATTGTAATAAAAAAAAAAGAAAACCTAAGTCTTATAGAAGCCTTATCCTCTTCCTTTTTAAAAATATACAGGAAACTAGGTCATATAATTTTTTAAATTGTTCTTTTGTCTGGTTTTATAGCAAATGATTTCCACTACAATACACCACACTGGACACACACACACACACACACACACACACACACACACACACACACACCCTTGGAGTAAACAAACAAACAACAAAAAAATAAGAGAAGAATCCCCATTTGAAATGCTCTTTAGTGTCATGTACTGAGATTTTGGTACGGACAAAAAAGAAATCAGCCAGTTAAAAGATGACTGAATCAATTTATAATATAGCACATTTATATTCAATTCAGTTGTTCAGTGAGTGACTTAGAGGGTTGTTTAATCTCTATGGTAGTTGGAGAGAAGGTGACTGTGATCAGCTTTCCTTATGGGACACTTCTAGTCCTGCTTCTGTTCATATCCCTTGTCCTGCTCCCTGGTTATTGAGAGAAAAATGTATAGTTTATTAAGATATTCAAATTTTATTTTAAAAAAATCCTCTTGAGTATAAGGAAAAGGAGAAATGCTTGTTAGTCATGGGAAAAGGTGCAGCTTATAAAGACTCTCAGAGAGGTTTGGATGATATGGACAGTTTATTTTTTTAATTATCATAGCAAATTCATCCTCAAAACCAGTACCAACTATGGTTTTGACATTTGACAGTCATTGGACTGAATTGGATTCTCTAGCTTGACCCAGACAACTCATGATTGAATGAGAGCTATACTATGGTTAGAAAAAGATCAAAGCAATCATAGTCTATACCTTAGCTTACAAACTGGAACAGAATCATTTTATTTGGGGAATTTGGGTCCTTTGAAAATTTTGAAGAAATTGAGGCAATCTAGAAAGGAATGATTGGAATCAAAGTGTCTTTTCTGGCCCAAGGTTATCTTGCTCCATTTCTCCCTTTATCTACTGGACACTATTGACCTTTCTCTCCAGCTCTGCTGTGAAGATAAGCTTTTTATCTTTGCCCATATGGAGCTGGTTTAGATGAAGAGGAATAGGTTCAGTGGGAATGTGAGGGAGCCCTTTCCCACTCAGGCTGGAGCCAAGGGCAGCAAGGCCTGAAGTGCTGTTCGCCAGTCGGGAGAAATGGCTTTCTTTTATGGTTAGGCAGTGTCTCCACCTAGGCTGAGGTTAGTGGGGGAAGGACAGCGAGGAGGTGACAGGAGGAAAGGGCCCCAGCCTCGCTTGGTCTCTTCACATTTGACTTTTTTGTTTCCAAGGTGAACGAACTTTCAAGTGTGATCAGTGTGATGCTACCTTTAAAAGGAAAGATACCTTAAATGTTCACATCCAGGTGGTCCATGATGGACACAAAAAATACAAATGTGATCTGTGTGACAAGGCGTTTGTAACACCTTCTGTGCTTAAAAGTCACAAAAAAGTAAGTACAAGTCCACCCCAAATTTGAATTCCTTTTGTATTTTCTTTCCCTTGTTACTTGAACCTTTAAAACATTCCCAGTTTGTCTCCCAGGGCCTAAGCTTGAGGCTCTCCCTTCACTGTCCTATATACCATCCATAGGTTTATTGTCTTATTAGAGGGGATTTAGGTGCAATGGATAGAATACTGAATCAAGAGTCACGAAGATCTGGGTTCAAATCTAGCTTCAGGCAGTAATTGTGTGACCCTGGGCAAATCACTTCACCTCTGTCTGCCTCATTTCTCTCATCTGTAAAATGAGGATAATAGTAGCACCTGCCTCTCAGGGTTGTTGTGAGGATTAAATGAGATAATTATTGTAAAGCATTTTGAAAACCTTAAGGTGCTATGTAAATGTTAACTTTTATGGTTCAGGGGACCTGAATAGAGATAGATACATAGTAAGTACTGAATAAATACTTTGGGAATGGAAACTGATTAATTGGGATATATTGTCTAGTGAAATCTGCAGCTACATTGTACAAAGAAATGTTGATTTGGCTACTTTATTTGCCCAGTTTCTAATTCAAATGGGCACGTGAAGTCACTGATACAATTGTGTATATTCAGGGATGAATTGTCTCTTTTATATCCTTCATAATAACAATAACTAACATGTACAGGGTGTTCCAAGAGTCTCAGTGCAGTTTTGAACCATTAGAACTTTTAGTGTTTTTAAGTTTTACAAAGTCCTTTACAATGAAAATATATTAAATATTATTAAGAATTGTATTGAGTTATTTGATCCTCACGGTAATCCTATGAGGTAGGTGCTATGACCATCTCCATCTTACAGATAAAGAAACTGGGGTAGAAGGATGTTCAGTCTGCTATTCAGTATCAAACAGCTAGTAAGTTTCTGAGGTGGATTAAAATTCCAGAATTAGAATTGGATTCCTGACCCTAAGATGAGCATTCCATCTACTATGGAACTGTCAGCAAACATCCAAAGCAGGAGATATATAAGGATTATATACTGAGGGAAAAAGCTTATTTATTCTGATATTTGAAATATGTAAATGTCTATATATAATATATAATAGTTTAAATATTTTAGTAAAATAATTTATTTTGATCTATTTTTAACTAGAAGTAAGAAATATGTTTAAATTTAAATATGTTTTTGAGCTAAGTTGATTTTGTAATTTAAAAATATTGTCATGCAAATAAATTAAATTTCGCTTCCCTCATTTCTTGAGGGGGCAGGTGTGGAGTTTGCATCTGTGGTTCTATTGGTATAGAAAACTTCTGGTATGAAAACTATGTCAAGGACTGTAGGCTGTCACCTTCTTTATAACTTATAGGCTTAGTGAGGTTTCTGGGCTCACTAGGAGTTAAATGACTTAGGATTGCTCAGCCAGTAAATGTTAGAGTCAAACTTGACCCATGGCTACTGGGTTCTACCATGTTACTTTTCCTTATTGTTAATCAAGTTCTTTTTTTAAAAATAATTCAATTATTTTTAGTTTTCAATATACACTTGCATAAGATTTTGAGTTTTAAATTTTCTTCCCCTCCTCCTCCCCTTTCCTCAAGACAGCATGCAATCTATATAGGCTCTACTTATACATTCATATTAAGCATATTTTCCCATTAGTCATGATGTAAAGAACAATTAGAACTAATGGGAGGAACCACAAGAATGAAGCAATAAAACAAAACAACAAAAGAAAAGGACTCTGCTTCCAGCTGCATTCAGACTCCATAGTTCTTTCTTTGGATGTGGATAGCATTTTCCATCGTGAGTCTTTTGTAGTTTTCTTAGATCCTTGCATTGCTAAGAAGAGCCAAGTCTATCAAAGTCAGTCATCACACAGTGTGGCTGTTACTGTGTACAATGTTCTTCTGGTTTTGCTCACTTCATTTAGCATCAGACCATGCAAGTCTTTCCAGGTTTTTCTGAAGTCCATCTGCTCATCATTTCTTATAGCACAATAGTATTCCATTCCATTCATATACCGCAAGTTGTTCAGCTATTCCCCAATTGATGGGAATCCCCTCATTTTCCAATTCTTGGCCACCACAAAAAGAGCTACTATAAATATTTTTGTACATGTGGGTCCTTTTCCTATTTTTATGATCTCTTTGGGATACAGCCCTAGAAGTGCTATTGCTGGGTCAAAGGGTAATCAAGTTTTTTTTTGAAATGAGATTCTTTCTCAATTTAAAATGAAATTTTCATAGCATGATGTATCTAAATCTGGAAGGAACCTTAGCATCTAGTCTGGCCCTCTCCTTTTACAGATAAGGAAATCAAGGCCCGAAATTGAAATGACTTGCCTAGGGTCACAAAGGTAATAAGCCAGAGAAAAAAGATTTGAATTCAGGTTCTCTAATGTTTAAATGAGCCTGATTTCCCTTTCACTTTAAAAGTAAAGGAAAGAATTCCCAAAAAGAAAGAAAAATATCTTGTTTTAGAAGCTGCTACTGGATTATGTGTTCAGTGACTTCTGATTCCCCAGCAGCAAATGCTGATGGAGGGTCTGCTAAGGCAGAGGCTTCCTCCTAAGTGTTAGGAATATGAAGACACAGCATACACATGCACATCACCCCTGAAACCAGCCTCTTCAGTTGGATCATTGTTTTTTCTCTAAAAGTTCAGCAGGAAACATAGATTTCTGAATTTTCCTTTGGAACTTTTCCTGATGAGTGTTATGGTTGGATGGACAGTGGAGTCTCACTGAGTAATTAACTTGTCTCCAGTAGCAAAGGATTTACCTCATTGGAAATATTGGTAAGAAATCATGAGCTAGAGAAAATGCATCACCTTTTGGACTTACTTTCAAAACTTTTCTTGAAAGGTTACAGAAACCCTTTAGAAAATCTTATTGTCTCAAATAACATGGTTAGGCATTCTTTATTCACAGTGAATTTTAATGCACTTCCGATGGAGATTAGATGGAAATTTTGTAAACAGATAATTTTAACCAATAATATTTTAAATCCATATATATGTATATATACATGCTATGAATTTAAACTATTTTTGGTTACAATTATCTTAGTAAATTTAAATAAACTTACTTATATAAACTTTTTAAACTGAGATAATTTTAACCAACATATTTTAAATCTCTCTCTCTCTCTCTCTGAGTGTGTGTGTGTAATGTGGATTAAAATATTTTTGGTTAAAATTATCTTATTTTAAAAAATATCACAGACACATATTAGGGAGACAGACAGACAGACAGACAGACAGAGAGAGAGGGAGAGAGAGAGAGAGAGAGAGAGAGAGAGAGAGAGAGAGAGAGAGAGAGAATTATCCACAATACTTTTTCTGATTATCTTCTGGAACTAGTAGTAGCAGTGTTGGTTAAGTTGATGAAGTGGTCATATGTTTATAGTCATTGTCTTTTTTAAAATATTGGCTTCAATGTGGGTTTTTAGATTCCAAAATAAGGAGACTGGACAATGTGATCTGTGTAGCAACCCCTCTAGGCTGGAATTTCTAGAAATCTATATAATATACAGCTGAGTTTTAATCCAACAAATGCATGACTCCTTTTGAGCACTGAATGGAATAAATGTGCAAGCAGTTGTAATTGAATTATTTCTTTTCTGGTAAAAAGTATTATGCATCACAATTATCCAACATCATTGATCAGATGACCTTGGTGAATTCTGCATACTATTATTTATATTGTATTTCTGAACATGTGTTCCCCGTTTTCATGAAAACCTAGAAGACACATTGCCTGCCAATTCCACTGTTAATTACAGAATTCACTACTATTACACTGTTGAGAAAATACCCCTTTCAAATTTAGTTTCTTTATTTTTGATTTTCTAGACTACAATGATTCATATACTTAACATTGTCTTTTGTAATATGAGAGTGCTTCTGTATTTTCTGTATGTTATATCTCCATGAAATTGTGATTTTATTTGTAAAGAATGTCATGAATTGAGGAAAGGATGGCCCCTTTTGAATGATTTTTTTTTAAACACAAATTGCTACCATTGATGTCATGGTTTCAATTTCTCCTATTGTAGGGTTTTCATGAACTAAACTGAGCTGACTTTTCATTCTGTTTAAGGCTATATTTATTCATGGTCTTCAATACTACATTTCTATTATTTCTCTCTCTGGATGGTAAAGCTATTTGTTCACCTAGCTTAATTTCCCTTGAATGTCTATGTGCTGGAAAAGAGAATAGCAGTGTGGTAGAAGAGATAAGCTCTGGTTTAAATCCCACCTCTGACTCATACTGACCCTGCCTACTGTCACAGCCTCACAACCTCTCAGTTCCCCCAGGCAACTCTTTAAGAATGGAAGTTACAGATTATCATTTTTTAAAAAAATTTTCATTAGTAGAGAGAATTCACACAGTGAGAATTCCCAACACTAATGAAATTACAGGCATTGGCACAACCCCAAAAATAAATAAGACAAAAGACTTTTAACAATTTCCTAAAAGCATAGACCTAGAGCTGGAAGGTACCCTGAGACCTTTGAGTCCAATCATCTAAATTTACAGATGAGGAAACTGAGGCCCAAGGAAGCGATATGAAATGTAGGATCATAGGTCTAGAGTTTGTGATGTTTGAAAAGATTGAGAGACATAATTTCTGGGTAATTCATCATTTTATTAATAATTCTAGCATTTTATTAATAAAAGGGTCAGTGACACTCTCAAATGCCAAAGACCCCTCATGGCAGTGGGCTCATGGTATACATCCCCTTGGAAGAGTGGGTGTTCCTAAGGATGTCAATCAATTCTAATTGATTAACAATTGATGAGAGGTGGACTTTACAAAGAGAAGTGGGCTCATTCCAGTGAGGGACTGGGACAGTAACATCATGTCAATCTTGGACAAAAAGACTATCTCTATACCCAAACCACTCCCAACCTTGGGCAATCTAGACAAAGGGTCTACCTCCACCCAAACTTGCTTGAGTGGAATGCAATGGGTAGGAATTCACCTAGATAAGCTGGTGTTGGAGGGCTAAATTTTTGGCAGAGGTCAGTAATGCCCTTCAAAGACTGGGCTTCGAACAAGGAAATAGGACAGGGAAAAAGCCTGGATCTCCCCACAATTGGTTATTAATAATAATTTATCTCGAGCTGAAAGGGTCTCAGAAGCTATCTAGTTCATACCTCTCATTTTATTTGTGAGAAAATTGAGACTCAGAAGACTTGCTCAGGGTCATAAGGCTGGTAAGAGTACAAGGCAGCATTTGAACTGAGGTCTGCTTAGCTCCAAGTCAAGTATTTTATCTGTTATGACATTGATGTTTTCTAATGACTTTCTGTTCAGCCACACTATAGTTCTTGGAATTAAGACTTCTTACTGAGAAATGAACATGTAACATGTTCATCTTAAAAATTCAGGACTTAGTAATAGTGAAACAATACCATTCACAGAACCAAATGGATCTTTAAAAAGCCTGTAGTCTAAATCGTTTCAATATATCAATAACCATAGATAAACCTCTTGCTTTTAGCCTCAGTCTATATATTTCAAACTGAAATTAACTTAAACTCTTTTACCTAAGCACCAGCAAAATTCATAAAATGTTGTAGCCAACTATGATTGTTTCTCCTTCACTTACCACCAGATGGATTTCACTTTCACCTACATTTACCTCTACCTTAGAGTGTGGGGGATTTGAGAGAGGATACAAACTTGCCTTTTTGGGGAGAGCGTCATGGGAAAAGCTGAGTGGTTCCATAGAACCTCAGATCCCTACCTTTCTGGTCTCTTTGTACTCTTAACAATCACGGGGATCCCAAAGAATTTTTGTCTGTGTGGTTTATATCTATCAATATTTGCTGTATTAGAAACTGAAACTGATGATTTAAAACTATTTATCAATTCATTTAAAATAACAATAATAGACCCATTGTATATTAATATAAACATTTTAAAATAACTTTTCTAAAACAAGAAAAGTGAGAAGAGTGGCATTGTTTTATGATCAATTTATGATCCTGTGATCCTGAGAAGTCCCTTTTTGTTTTTTTGGCATGGGAACTGCTGTAAAAATAAGTTACATGTTAAGATAAAACTCACAATTTTGAATGAATGAATGAAAGGTATTTATTAAACTGCCAGTGCAGTGTAGTGAACAGAAAACTGGTCTTGAATTCAGAAGACATGGGTTCAAGTTGTGCCTATGACACATACTAGCTATTTGACTGTGGGCAAGTCACTCAACCTCTCAGTGCTTTAGAAGCAGTTCTCTGAGACTGTAAGTTGCAAAGAAGGTACCTACATGAATAAGAACAGGAGGAAGTTTCTGCATCACAGAGTTCCCTACAGCGCTGCAAACACAGGTCCAGTCCCATTCCTCATCCCTTTTTATATGCCATGAACTGTGCTACCAGCTGGGGACACAAATAAAAAATGCAGTACAGGTCCTGCCCTCAAGGAGAATACATTCTAATATGGGACTAGGAGATTGATGTCCAGGAAGAGATTTTTTGCTCAGGAAAATTGAAAAAATAGTGAGTGGAGTATTAGAGCAATTAACATCTACTTTACCGGAACATTAGAATTGATATATAAGGCAAATCGTACATATGAGACCTTCAAATAAGACTCATGGAGTATTTGCAAATAAATTTCAGCCATGTTCCAAATTTGCTATAAATATTGAAAGTCTTTCTATGGCAAAAAGCAGGTATAATTTAGTAACTTCGGGGACATAGTTCCAAATTCCTTTCCAGAATGATTGGACCAATTCAAACCTATACCAAGAGTGCATTATTATGTTCATTTTCCTCCCAACAGTCCATCCAATATTTGTTTTTCTTTTTTGTCAATTTTGCCATTTTGATGAGTAGAAACTCAGGGGTGCTTTATTTACATTTCATTAATTATTTGTGATTTAGAGTGTTTTTTTTTTAAATATTGCTATAGTTTGGATTTCTTCTTTTGAAAAGTTTCTGTTCATATCCTATAACCATTTATCAATTAGGGAATGACTCTTATTCTTCCATATTTGAATTAATTACATATATATTTTGGAAATGATAATTTTATCAGAAAACCTTGGTGAAAACATGTCTTCCTCCAGTTAGTTACTTCCTTTTTAATTTTAACCACATTGTTTTTGTTTGTGCAAAAAAAAATCTTTTAAAAATTATGTAATTACAATTGTCCATTTTAGCTCCAGAGGTTCTCTTTATCCTCTGTTTAAGTCATAAGCTGCTCCCCTATCTACAAATATGAATGGTAGTTTCTTTCTTGCTCATCTAATTTGTTTATGCTGGCACCATTTATGTCTCAGAAGTTATATCAGCTCAAGGGAATGTAATCTTGGAAAGCAAACAAATGGCCATGATGAGATCTACCTGAACATCTTTAGTCCTATGTAGTTATGCTAAAACTCTTTGTCTGTTTTCCTCCTTCTACACAGACACACACAGGAGAAAAGGAGAAGATATGCCCATATTGTGGACAGAAATTTGCAAGCAATGGGACGTTACGAGTACACATTAGAAGTCATACAGGTCTGTGTCCTCTACTTGTCAATACAAAACAAATAGAGAACTGATGTGCTTTGTGGCCAAAGTGTGGCATCATGTTTCTTTTATGTTCTACAGGTTACATGCAAGTTTAAGTTTAAACTCTCTGAAAAACTGAAGAAAAATTCTGTTTTTTTTTTTCTGCCAAAACTTGCAACATAGCTGTCTCTAAACCCAGTAAAGCTTGCAATCCAAGAGTACTTTGATATTTCTTTTTGATAGCAGAATTTAAAATTTCCCCTGTGGTTTCATGTATTTGTTATTTCTATGGATAAAATTGGGATAATAGTAGGTGGGCAGGTTTTCCCTGCATTGTAGTTATTTGTGTACGTGACAGCTGCCATTGTTGATTCAATCCAACAAACATGTATGAAGTGCCGACAGACTGAATTCAAGGCCCCTGGGTAGCCACTGGGGAGAAAAAGACAGATGCACCATAAACTGTGCTCTCAAAGAGCTCTCCAGGGGAGAAAGACATGTACCTAAATACCTGTAATAGAAGTGAAAAGAGAAGGTCTAAGCAAAGTGTTATCAGAAATGTAATCAAGGAAAGATCCTTTCCCCCTTGGGGGAGAGAAGGGAAAGGGGAGAAAGTGATATCTGAATTGAACTTGTAATTTATAATCCCTGCTGGATTATAAACTCATTGACCACAAGAATCATTCTTTGTTATCCCCTGCATTTCTCAGCACAATATATTGTTCATAGTACATATTCAAATATTTATTGAATAAATGAATGAATGATGTTCTTAACTAGGTTGATATATCCTCCTTTATGACTCCTGTAGACCACTTTCAATGAGATTCATTTCATCTAGACCAGGGATTTCTTAACTTAGTGTTTAACACACACACACACACACACACACACACACACACACACAATACACTTACCCACACATGCACATATATATGATATATACATATATATTTATAGATAGATAACTATTTCAGTATCATCTGATTCCTTTGTAATCCTGTGTATTTTATCTTACTCATTAAAATATTATTCTGAGGAGTCTATAAGTTTCACCAGCTTGAAAGGGTGCCATGACACAGAAAAGGTTAAGAATACAAGCTCGGCCTGACTGAGTTTCAAGAACAGTGGTTGTTAGTCCCTCATTTTCAAAGAAGACCAACGACATTATGGAGTTGCCATTGTTAGAAATGTCCATAGCATTGATAGGTCTACTGGCTGTGTGCTAGAGACCACCCAAAGACTCTTTTGGAAATACTGACCAAGAAAAAAAGGAAAAGAATTCTGATAGTCATGACCATGAAAGTTTGATATGGATTTTCAGTATTTTAGGTGCCTCAAATATAGAATTACAAATATAGAATCACAATATAGAATCACAAATATAGAATCACAAATATAGAATCACAAAGCTGATTGATAAAATCTTCCAAGAGGAGCAGGATTTCCTGAGAGATGGTTTAGTCAAGAGAGGCCAAGCAATCCATATGACAACCATTGAAATAACGGAAGAATGTCCAGAGGAAGGAACCCAGGTCTCTAAAGTAATGAATCATCACAGAATCATATCGTTTGCAGCTTGAAAGGACCTTAGACACATCTAGTGCAAACACTTAATTTTACACAAGGGGAAATTGAGACCCAGTTAGGTGAAAGGACTTACCCATTGTCTTACAGGTAGCTAGTGGCAGAGACAGAATTTGACTCCATCTTTTATGTTTCTAAGTATAATGATATAATGATTTTTTTAAAGACCCCTATTTATTTTTATTTAATTATTCATATATAATGTGGGTTCCAACAAATAAGGGCAGTTAATGAAGAAGGAACAGTAGAGCGTAAAGGAAACACAGCTCAGTAAAACTCTGGCTATCTGGGGACTGAACATCTAGGAGACTCCTATTCTACAAAAGTAGCCATGAGCACGCGGGAATGTAGGCAAAATTGCTTAGTAACAAAGAAACAGTAAGTTTCCAAACATTTAAGTGTTTTATTATGAAATGCAACTGGAAAAGATCTGGAGACTATATCTGATCTGCAGGGATTGGTTGGCACCCAGAAGGAAAGGTGTATTTTGATTGGTGACTAGCATTTGCCAAATGCTTGCCTTTTTGTGAACAATCTAAGAAATGTGGGAGAAGAGCTAGCTGAGAAAAATGGAAAATGAATCTATCAAAAAATGGAATGGGCTGCCTTGGAAGACCATGTGATCCTCATTACTGTCACCTCCATTTGTGTTCAAGAGCAGTCTAGAATATCACTTGTAAGGGATGTTACAGAAGAAATGTATGCATTGAGAAGGGGGCAGGGATGAAAAAAGGTGACTTCCACAGATGTCTCCAACACTAACATTTTGTTATTCTATAACAGCAAGGAGTTATTTTTAATTACTATCTTCTGTTTTTATATCCCCTTCATTTCCCAGCATGTTCCTCCATCTTCCCCTACCCAAAGAATCATTTTTGTGATAAGGGGGGGGGGAGAGAGAGAGACAGAGACAGAGACAGAGACAGAGACAGAGGGAGGGGGAGAGAGACAGAGAGAGAGAGACAGAGAGAGAGAGAGAAAGTTTAGTAAAACTAGCCAGCAAATCAATTGAGTCTGACAACAAATGTCATCTTCCACATCCGTAGTAATTCCTGTGATCCTCAGTCCCTGACTGTCAAAAAGGAAATCTCTTTCCCCAACTCCTGCTGCCCTCTCACTAATCCCTATCCCCCTCAGCTCCAGCCCTTCCTCCCCCATCTTTCATTTCTTTCCTGTTTCCCATTTCCACTGTGCCCTCTGGAAATCCCATTTTGCAATTAACAAACTTTTCTTAATCAAGCCTTTTTCTCTTTTATTCCTTCCATCTATTGGCTGTCATTGAGACTTGCCCACTCTAGCCAAATGACACCTCATCCCTGTCCATCTTTATACAAGCTGGCTACACTTTCTTTGGTCTCTGTGGTGGGAATTAGAACACTCCTTAATTCCCATGACCATTTCTAGACTCAGCTACCTCTCTTTCTTGAAGATTCACTTTATATCAATTTGTTATCCAATTCTGATCCTGTTGGCCATTATCTACTAGAACATTCTTCTTCCTTTCTCAATATGTTGAGTGCCTGATTCATGGTCTCTCCCTCTAATTCCTGCCTTCATGCTAGGGGACTTTACCAGTACTATTTACATTTCCTTGAATACCCTACTTACAGGTGCCTAGAAATATCTCTGCAAACAGCTGCACAAAACCCCTGAAGTTTGTGGCAGTACATCTTCCACCCTGGAAGCAGAAACCTACTTCAACAAAGAATTAAAAGTGAAGAAATAGGCTGGGAAAATGAGCAAACAACAGAAAAAATATCTGACCATAGAAAGTTACTATGGTGACAAGGAAGATCAAAACACACACTCAGAAGAAGATAAAGAAGTCAAAGTTCCTACATACAAGAAAAATAGGAATTGGTCTCAGGGCATGGAAGAGCTCAAAAAGGATTTTGAAAATCAAATAAGAGAGGCAGAAGAAAAATTGGAAAGAGAAATGAGAGTGATGGAAGAAAATCATGAAAAAAGAGTCAACAGGTTGGCAAAGACACACAAAAAAAATACTGAGGAAAATAATACCTTAAAAAACAGATTAGGCCAAATGGCAAAAGAGGTACAAAATGTCAATCAGGAGGAGAGTGTCTTGAAAAGCAGAATTGGCCAAATGGAAAAACAAGCACACAAATTATTTATTCATTTATTTGTTTTGTTTTACTTTTTGCTAGGTAATGGGGTTAAGTAACTTTCCCAGGGTCACTCAGCTAGTAAGTGTCAAGTGTCTAAGGCCAGATTTGAACTCAGGTTCTCCTGACTCCAGGGCCAGTGCTGTATCCACTGTGCTACCTAGCTGCCCCTAGCACAAAAATTTATTGAAGGAGGAAAAAAAACTCCTTAAAAAGTGGAATTAGCCAAGTGGAAAAGGAGGTACAAAACTTCACTGAATAAAATAATTCCTTAAAATTTAGAGGTGATCAAATGGAAGCTAATGCCTTTATGAAAAATCAAGAAATAATAAAACAAAACCAAAAGAATGAAAAAAAAAGAAGACAATGTGAAATATCTCATTGGAAAAACAAGTGACCTGGAAAATAGATTCAGGAGAGACAATTTTAAAAGTATTGGACTACCTGAAAGTCAATATCAAAAAAAAAAAAAAAAAAGAGCCTAGACATCATCTTTCAAGAAAATATCAAGGGAAACTGCCTTGACATTCTAGAATTAGAATATAAAATAAAAATTGCAAGAATTCACCCATCACCTCCTGAAAGAGATCCCCAAATGAAAACTGCTAGGTATAGTATAGCCAAATTCCAGAGCTCCCAGCTCAAGGAGAAAATGTTGCAAGCAGCCAGAAAGAAACAATTCAAGTATCATGGAGCCACACAAGATTTAGCAGCTTCTACATTAAAGGATTGGAGGGTTTGGAATATGCTATTCCAGGGGGCAAAAGAGCTAGGATTACAACCAAGAATCACCTACCCAGCAAAATTAAGTATAATCCTTCAAGGGAAAAATAGACATTCAATTAAGTAGAGGATTTTCAAGCATTCTTGATAAGACTAGAGTTGAATAGAAAATTTGACTTTCAAATACACAACTCAAGAGAAGCATAAGAAGGTAAACAGGAAAAGGAAATCATAAGGGACTTAATAAGGTTAAACTGTTTACATGCCTAAATGGAAAGATGATACTTGTAAGTCATAAAAACTTTCTCATTACTAGGGTAGTTAGAAGAAGCATACATAGACATAGGGCTCAGGTGTGAGTTGAATATGGAGAGATGATATCTAAAAAATAAAATTAAGAGATGAAAAAGAGAAAGGCATTGGGAGAAAGGGAAAGGGAGAGGCAGAATGGAGTAAATTATCTCACACAAAAGAGACAAGAAAAAACTTCTATAGTGGAGGGGAAGATAAGGGAGGTGGGGGAGAGTGAGTGAATCTTAAGCTTATCAGAATTGTCTCAAAGAAGAAATAACA